GGAAGGAAGGAAGGAAGGAAGAAAGAAAGATCAGAGTCTCCAACCACTATTACTGAATGAAGGAGCTTGTTTGAACAAATCCTGAATATGGTTTCTGATACTTGGGATCAGATCAAGGGGTGGGAGGAGGGTACAAGATGTTTTAGTTCACCCTCACAGAAGAAAAAAAAATTGAGCATAAGTGCAGGATAACATGACTTGACCTTACATCACTCCCTCAAAGTGAAAAATATGAAAAAAGACTTAAAGTCTAAGGAAAACACTTCCATCCTCTGCAAGCCTCTTGCTCTCTCCCCCTGAGGCTTTGTCAGCCCAGAGCTAAGGCATAACGGTGCAGGGGCCAAAAGATGGTGTGAGCAGGAATTTTACGCAGGATTATCTGGAATGCAGCTGAGGGAGAAGGAGCTGAAAGCGTTATCGTCATTACAGGCCATCCACACCCTTCCCTCCACCTCCAGGGAGTACCTTCTAACTGGGAAGTATGGAAAAGTCCCTCAAATCTGCACTCTCTTCTCGTTTCCTGAGTCTCAATAGTATGCACATGCACACGAAGAGGCATGGCCTTCTGAAAGTTCAACCCTCTGACAATCCAGTTCAATCTTGGCTTCAGTTCAGCAGACATCAGATCTGTCTTCGGGGATCGCCCCTCTGGACCCAGGTGACCACCACTGACTTCCATTACCTGTTGGACAAGTGCAAACACCATTCATCAGGGCAGCCAGGGGGCAGTACAGAGTTGCCTTTGCACCTTGAGGCTCAAAGTGTGGTCCATAGTCTGACTGCAACCCCATCACCTGGGAACTTGTTTAAAAAAAAAAAAAAAAAAAAGGAAATAAATAGTAAAAAATAAAAAAAAATTAAAAGACACGTTGTCCGGTTCATCCCGGACCTGCTGAATCTGAATCCACATGTTCACAAGATCCCTGGCGTTCCATGCACATCAAAGTCTGAGAAGCACTTCCTTGGCCCTCATTATCTGGTTCAACCTCACCTATTGAGACACTTTCACTGAAACCACAAATTTGGGCAAGCAGAGAACATGACTTCCCATTGGTCTCTGACTCCACTGGGTTCTAAAACTGCAGACCCCTCCCTCCTACTTAGTCTGGGCTATTTTGGCATCTTGAGCAACCCTCCAACTGTAGCTTCTCAGCCTGCTTCTTTGATTGCCACTGCCCCTCCTGCATCTGGGAGGCAGCTCCCTCCTCCTGCATCCAGTTTCCCCTGGTAGTAGTGTTTTCCACATGGGTGGGGGTGGTTACCCCCACCCTACCACCCCTGCACCCTCTACTTTCTCAGCCTTCACCCAGCAGGACCTGGAGGCCTGTACCCCTGGCTGAGGCTGTTGCTGCCTTCCCTTGATTTCCTCAATCCCATGAATACCCCTCTGAGTTTTGCTGCAAGGGAAACAGACAAGCATTTGACATTGCTGGGGGCCACTCTTCCTCCATTAAAACTTCCAAGACAAGCAGTTTTAGAATAGGTTGGTGAATAGGATTGGCTTTATTTCCTGTTTGTTTCAACCAAGGCTTAAGAAATACCTGGGGGTGCCTGGGTGGCTCAGTCAGTTAAGCGTCCGACTTTGGCTCAGGTCATGATCTCACAGTTGGTGAATTCAAGCCCTGTGTCAGGCTCTGTGCTGACAGCTCAGAACCTGGAGCCTGCTTCAGATTCTGTGTCTCCCTCTCTCTCTCTGTTCCTCCCCCACTCACACTCTGTCCGCGCCCCCCCCTCAAAAATAAATATTAAAGATATACCTGAAATGCAAAGGGCCTTCAGGCCAGGCCTGAATCCAGTCCAGGGAGGGGGTGGGAAAGGACTGGGTTTTTGCATCAGAGTTGCTGCTGCAGCTGCACTGGCTGGGAAGGCCCATCCCATCCCTCAGGGGTCCCCAGGATCTGGCCAGACCTGGATTTTCAATCTCAGCCACCATAGGAGGATGTGGTCTGTGCCCAGTGGCTGTGGGAGGGCAGCTAGGGTCACTAAGCTTAGGGACAGCCCCTTCTCCCTGAGACTTGGGTCTGTCCCAGGTGGAACCACCACTTTTGAACCCTGGGCAGTGGGTGAGTGTCACACCCATACGGCGGAGCTGATGGGGGAGCGGTTTCAACTTGAACCCCTGGGCAGGCCTTGCCCCAGCTCCAAAGGTGCAAGAAGCCCGAAGTCAGAGGCAGGAATGGGCCAAGCATCAGGAGAAGCTAGACTGAATCAGAGGCCTTCCAGGGGCTGTCCCTGTCCCCTGCATGACGTGTGTTAGGGTGCCTACTCCCATTACTGTTCAGTGCCGTGTCCATCTTCTTGCAGACCCTGAGGTCCCCAGGATGCAATACCTGGCCCTCAGGGATGCTCAGTCACTATGTGGGGGACACAGGAATCCAAGAAGAGTCATAATCCTCCATGGAGTCTGACCTCATTGTGGCCCTCATGAGCTGCATGTGATACCCAGATGTCCTTATGTCTGTCTGTTACAGACATGGAACAGACAGACCCAGACATGTTACAGCATCTCAGGACCACTGCTGGACAGATGCCAAGGGGATGCCAGGGATGGCCTGGCTCCCCTAGGGCGTACGGCATCCATGAAATTCACTCTGGGGGACCCTAGGGGGAGCCTCATAAACATGGATGAACCACCAGGACCACACTGCTCCAGGACACACTGGGACACAGAAGACCTAAAACAAAGGGTATTTTCAAACATGAACACCAGGTCAGCCAACGGTGAGGTACAAGGGTAAATTTAACAACTAGCTGTGTCTCATATGCAGAGCTGAACCAGCGTTTCACAGGACAGTGTTTTCCATAAGTTTTTGCATCAAAACTCCCAGTAAGAAGTGCATTTCCCTGTGTCGCCTGGGTGGCTCAGATGGTCCAACAGTTGATTTCAGCTCCGATCATGATCCCAGGGTCGTGGGACAGAACCCTGCGACGGGCTCTGCATTGATGTGGAGCCTGCTTCGGATTCTTTCTCTCTCTCCCTCTGTCCCTCTCCCCAACTCATATGCTTTCTCTCTCCCAAAAATAAAAATAAAATAAATTAAAAAATAAAATCGGGGCACCTGGGTGGCTCAGTCGGTTAAGTGGTTTCGGCTCAGGTCATGATCTCGCGATTTTGTGCGTTCGAGCCACACACTGCACTGTGCACTGATGGTGTGGGGCCTGTTTGGGATTCTCTCTCTCACCCTCTCTCTCTGCCCCTCCCCTACTCATGTTGTCTCTGTCTCTGTCAAAATAAATAAATAAATAAATAAATAAATAAATAAACTTTTAAAACAATTAAAAAGAAAAGAAATGCATTTCCCATCATTATCCAGAACACATCTATGTATTTCTATAATTGAAGCAAAATCCCACAAACTATCACCATCCCTCCCCTTGCATGGGATGTTCTCCATTCTCCTGTCTGCTCTAGGCTGCTTCACTTTTGCAAAATGCTGATTGCAACTGACTGGACGATGTCACAGCCCTCTGAGTTACAACACAAACTTTGAAAAGTGACAGTTGATATATAATTAGGAATTCACTATTTTTTCATGGCCTATGATTTTTCCTCAGCCACAGCAGATGGACCAGCTGGTGGTGACAATAATAAAAATAATCGTAACAGCCAGTTGGTGGTGACAATAATAAAAATAATCATAACAGCCAGCCATATGTGTTATGCTTGTGGTACTTCTCAGTTTAGAAAGCACTTTCAAAGGACAAATACTCTATGATTCCACGTATCTGAGGTCCCTGGAGTAGTCCAACTCACTGAGACAGAAAGTAGAATGATGGTTGCCAGGGGCTGGGGTGGGGGGAGGAAGAATGGGGAGTTAGTGTTTAAAGGGGAACAGAGTTTCTGTTTGGGAAGATGAACAAGTTCTGGAGATGGATGGATGGTGGTGAGGGTTGCACAAAACATAATTGTGCTTGATGCTACTGGATTGTGCACTTAAAAATGGCCTAGATGGCAAGTTTCATTTCATGCATCTTTTACGACAATGTTTTTAAAACTAATGGGAAAAAAGGACTTTCATAGCCATTGTCTGCCAACTTGGACCTCACCACGGACCCAAAAGTGAGCAGAGCTAGCAGTGTGGCCAGCCTCACTTCACAAAGAAGACTGGAGACCTGGGAAGTGAGTGGAGCATCCCTCCTGGCAGTGCCAGAGCAGAGCCAGACCCTCGCCACCCCACGCAGGTGCTCGGTCCCTCCTTGTTGCCGCTGCCCACTTCACACCAAAGCATGGAGTTCCTGGACCAACAGTTCACAGGGATTTGGGGGAGACGGCAAAGGGGCCTTGCAGAAGCCACTACTGCGTGCAGTGTGCAGATGCTGTGCTCATGATGGTGACCTCTGGATAAAATCTATGAGGGTGTGAGTGTGTGCGTGTGTGCATGTGCGTGTGGGTGTCAGAGAGAGAGAGAGAGAGAGAGAGAGAGAGAGAGAGAGAGATATGACATCCATGAGGTGTTGAACATGGTGCATTAAACACCATATTTATAATTATATCATGATTCCTGAACTTGAACATTGGCTTCTTGCTAAACTACACCTGTTTCCTCCCCTGTCACCACCCCTGCCCCCAGGCTGGTCAGAACAGCAGCCTCAGTCCCAGCCCACTGAACTCAGGTGACTCTTGATCTACTGGCACTTGGCTGCCCTCCATGCCCCTCCAGTCCCAGGGGAGATGCTTCACAGACCCAGGCGCCCTCTGGGAAGGAAGGCAGGAGCAGGTGTGCTCCACCCAGGGTCTCAGGGGCGAGACCAGGCTGGCAGTTGTGGTGGTGGGTGTTGAGCTATGGATGTGACCACAGCAGGGCAGTTGGCCGATGGCCCACTGGGAGAGACCCCCAGGAGTAACAGCCATGGTCCTTGGAGAGAAGGTCCAGGCAGAGGATGGGGCCACTTGGGCCAGAAAGCACTGGGACAGCCACTGCGAGCAAGAAGGACCAGGGGTGTCTGCTGACTCTCCTCCAGGGAGCTCAAGCCTGCAGGTCCTTTGATTCTGAGGGTGGATGAGGCCTAAGACAGGCCAGGTGGGCTATGAGACCCCCAGGGGGCAGAGCCCTGGCCCCAAGCAGCTCTGGCCCCTGCTGTTGCTGGGCTTGGCCATGGGCGCCCATTGCCAGCTGCCCCCAACGACAGCAGCACCACCAAGCAGGGTCCCAGGCCCTGGAGCCCCAGCAGGAAGCAGCCCTCGGAGCCTATGGGACAGGTAAGGGGCTGAGTGAGTCATGTGGGTGAGGGAGGAGAGGGTCTTTGCAGCCAGAATTGGGAATGGGACACAACGGCAGTAAAGGGGACAAGGAAGAATCAGTGAGAAGAGGGGCAGCCTGGACAGACGCTAGCTTCATTTAAAGTGTTGACAGTTTTCCAGAGTGTGTTTGCATTAATTTTTTTTGTATTGTATTAAAATATGATTTATCTGAATTACTGAGTTTTTAGCATCCCTTAAATTTTGTGCCCAAGACTAGTGCCTCATTCACCTCACCCTGGTATTCTGGGTAGGGAAGAAACAAGGAGGCAGTGGCAGGACGTCCACATGGGTGGTGGATGCTGTCATCCCAGGGTTCCCAGGCCTCCTCCTCTCAACTGATGAGGACTACCTCCTTGCCCCTTCCCTGCTGGCCAGAGGCCATTCCCTGGAGCAGTAGGGCGCAGGCTCCAGCTGATACTTTTGACTTGGGAGTGGGCCTTCCCTGTTGTCCCCAGGTCACCAGACCCTTAGCCAAGGACCTTCAGCCAGGGCCACCTCCTGTGACTGACCCCTAAGACCCTGAGCCCACCCAAGGTATAATCCCCCTTTGCAGAGTGACCCCAGGCCCTCCTCTCTGTGTGTGGTAGGAAGTCCCTGGACAAAGTGCCGAGAATTTCGGTCCATCTATGATAATGAATGACACAACAGCACGTTCATTGTGGGCACTAATCATTTTAGGGGCAGAACCGCCTTCAGCAACCCCATAAAGCAGAGGCTGCTGTTACCCCCATATTACAGATAAGGATAGAGGTCCAGAGAGATGAAATGACCTGCTCATTGTCACCCAGCTGGTGCAGACTCCAACACTCAAACCCGATGGTTTCCAGCTGTCCCCACTCCCATCTCCTAACTGGTGGGACTGACAAGTCTGCCTCTCCCCATCTCAGTTGCCTACTCTGCAAAGCAAGGGGTCTTAACTGAGTGAGGGCCTTGTAACCTGACACCCACTCCAGAGATGCTGGGGCTGCCTCAGTGAAAGGTTAGAACAGGATGAGCTGATTTTGTTTGGTACCAGCAGTCCAGCCAGGGAGGGGGTCAACACTTATGGGTGTTGGGTGAGGACTGGCATCTTGGTGTCCATCAGGGCCCAGGAAAACATAAGGAAATATGGAGTCCCCACTGGAGTCAAGCCCTGTGCTGGGGCTGGGATTCCAGGGGAGCAAGGTTTGGCCCCAACTCAAGGTTCAGTAGGAGAGGGGGCCAGATGAAGCAGCAGCCACACACAAAGACAATGACAAGGTAGTAGAGGCACAAAACGCTCAGGAAGCTCTCAGCCATCTGCAGGGCTGCAGTGAGTGGGTACTGGGGCCAAGATGGTCTGAGAGAAGGCTGAACAGGTGACCAGTCTCCAACCTAGAGGACCAATCCTTAGAGGACAGACTTCATCTGGGGGATTCCAGGGAACTTTTGCAAGGAAAGGACATGACCAGACTTGGGTGGGTGAGGGTGGGAATCCAGATGTAGAGTGACTTTTCTGGGGGGTGGGGGCAGTGTCCCAGAAGGAGTGGACAGACAATTGGAGATTCAGGAAGAGGGGGAACAGGAAAGGGAAGATCCAGGGTGCCCAACCCCAGATTTTTTGCTAGATATCTAAGAGAATGCTGTGACTGCACCAGTGTGTCCTATATTTTAACAAAATGGTCCAAGAGAAGGAGAAGTCTTGCAAGGTATTGGTCTCTCCCAAGAAGGTCCATTCATTTTTGGGCCACTCAGGGCCAGTGGATGCAGACAGGATGGGCCTGAACCAAGGGGGTCATGTGCACACTTGAGGATAGACCTCTTAGACCATTTTTGGAGCAGTAAAGTGGGAGGGGGGAGGATGCCCAAGCTGGTTTTACAGATGGAAGGCTGTTGGCCAGTGATGGGGTCTCTCCAGGCAAAGGGAGGGTGATGTTCATCAGGGAGCTGCGGGAGGGGAAAAGGAGAGTGGCAGCGGACCTCAGGGGGTTTTATGTATTTGCGCTTTTTCTTGAAGACCTTGAGGGACGTAAGTAAGGGATACTCACAGTCAGACTTGTGTCTTGGAAAAATGGCTCTGGATTTTTCCATGCCAAATTAGAGGAGCAGCGAGGGGGCTGTCTACACAACGACCAAGATCACCTGTGAAATTCACAAGTGAATTTAAAGTGATGGTACCAGGGGCGGCTGGGTGGCTCAGTTAGTTAAGTGCCAGATTCTGGATTTTGCTCAGGTCATGGTCTCACAGTTAGTAGTTGGAGCCTGGCATGGGGCTCTGTGCTGACAGTATGGAGCCTGTTTGGGATTCTGTCTCTCTTCCTCTCTCTGCTTCTACCCTGCTTTCACTTGGGGGTGTATTCTGTCTGTCTGTCTGTCTCTCTCTCTCAAAGTAAATCAACTTAAAAAAAAAACTTTTAAAATGATGGTACCAAAGGGTCGACAGGGGAGGAATGAGTGCTCTCATGGATGGTCAGTGGGAGATAAAATTCTTGGAACAAATAACATCAGTTGCCAAGATTCAAAAAAAATCTGCATTTCTTTTAATCAAGTAATTCCATCTCTAGAAATTTATCTCGAAGAAATAATCAGAGCTTCTGCTAAATATTATAAGTGGGGAAAAGGTGGAAACAACCTCGATGTCCAATGATAGACTATGGTATATCCATGGAAGGGAATAAGAAACTCATTACATACATACACATACATATATACATACATGTATATACATACATGTATACATGTATACGTACATACATATACATACATGTGTATATATGCATACATGTATGTATGTATATATGTATGCATATATATTAGGTGACTGCAATAACATAATCGGGATCTAAAAAATTTTTTTAAATTTTTTTTTTCAACGTTTATTTATTTTTGGGACAGAGAGACAGAGCATGAACGGGGGAGGAGCAGAGAGAGAGGGAGACACAGAATCGGAAACAGGCTCCAGGCTCTGAGCCATCAGCCCAGAGCCTGACGCGGGGCTCGAACTCCCGGACCGCGAGATCGTGACCTGGCTGAAGTCGGACGCTTAACCGACTGCGCCACCCAGGCGCCCCTAAATTTTAATAAAATCATAGAATCATGTAACTATCAACACAATCAAGATAGAGAACATTTCCACCCTCACTGAAACTTCCCTGTGTCCCTTCTGTCCTCAGTCTCTTTCTCCGCCCAACCATGGCAACCACTGATCTCTCTGTGATCCTATAGTTTTGCCTTTTCCAGAATATCTTACAAATGGAATTTTGGAGTATGTAACCTTTTTGTAAATTAAACTTTTAATTTCAAGATCATTTTAGATTCACATACAGTTATAAGAAACAATACAGAGGGGTCCCATGTTCCTTTCACCCAGTTTCCCCTAGTGGTAATGTCTTGTAAAACCATAGTAAAATACAACCAGGATATTGACATCGATACAGTTAAGGTACAGAACATTTCCCTCTCCACGGATTCCTCACCTTGCTCTTCTATTGCCACTCCCACTTCCCTCCCTTCCAAGCTCCTTCCTTTCCTCCTGGAAACTACTAATTTGGCCTTCATTTCCAATTTTGTCATTTCAAGATTGTTGTATAAATGGAATCATATACTGTGTAACATTTGGCGATTAGCTTTTTCACCCAGCATAATTTTCTGGATGTCCATTCAGATTTTGGGGTGGATCATAGTTCGATGCTTTTCATAACTGAATAATAATATTCCAAATACAGAACCTTTTGAGTCTGGCTTCTTTAATTCAGTATAGTGCCTTTGCAGTTGACTCAGGTTATCCCATTTATCAATAGCCTGTTCCTTTCTATTGCTGAGAAGGATTCCACTTTAAGTGTATTACATTTTGTTTGGCCATTCACCAGTACAGTGATGAATGAAAGGAGCAAAAATAAGCATCTTTGTCTGGTTCCTAAACTTGAGGGGAAAGCATTCAGTCTAGCACCAGTGAATATGATGTTCAATGTGGATTTTTCATAGATGGTCTTTATAAAGTTGAGGAAGTTCCCTTCCATTCCAAGTTTTTAAAGTGTTTTGGCATGAAATTTTGTTGAATTTGTCAAATATATTTCTGCATCATTTGAGATGATCATGTGGCTATCATCCTTAATTCCATCATTATGATATGTTCTATTGATTGATTTTCTTAAGCTGAACCACTCTTGCATTCCTGGGATAAACCCCAGTTGCTGTATGATTCTTTTTAATATGCTATTGGATTCACTTTTCTAGTACTTTGTTGAGCATTTTTGCATTGTATTCATCAGAGATATTAGTTTGCAGGTTTTTTGTGATGTCTTCATTCAGCTTTGGTATCAGGGTAATTCTGGCCTCATAGAATGAGTTAGGAAGTTTTCGTTTCTGTTTTATTTTTCAGAAGAGTTTGTGAAGGATTGGTGCCACCTTCTTTAAATATTTGTACACAAAAATTAAAAATTAAAATAAATTTTAAATAAAGTAGGACTTTCTGGTAAAACCATCTGGTCCTGGGCTTTTCTTTGTGGGAATGTTATTTTGATTACCATTTTAATCTCTTCAGTTGTTATAGGCCTGTTCAGGTTTTCTATTTCTTCTTGAGTCAGTTTTGGAAGTTTGTGTCTTTCTAGGAATTTGTTCATTTCATCTAGGTTATCTGATTTGTTGGTATTCAGTTGTTCATATTATTTCCTTATAATCCTTTTCACTTTTTCATGGTGTGTAGTGATGTCCCAACTTTCAGTTCTGACTTTGATAATTGGAACCTTCTCTCTTTTGTATTTGTCAGTCTAGTAAATGTTTCTCAAAGCTGTTAAACTTTGAAGAAGCAGCTTTTGGTTTTACTGATTCTCCCTATTGTTTTATATTCTCTAATTCATTTATTCTACTCTACTCATTATTATTTCCTCCCTTCTGTCAGCTTTGGAATTAACTTGCTCTTCTTTTTCTATTTCCTTAAGGTAAAGTTAAGTTATTGGTTTGAAATATTACTTCTTTTTTTAAAAATGTTTACTTATTTT